GGGGTGGGAAGGAAAGGAAAAAGGAAAGAGGGAAAGGGAGAGGAGGAGGAAGAGGAGGAATGGAAGGAAAGGGGAGGGAAAAGGATACGCGAGGATGGGGAGGGGGGGGGGGTGTTAACGCCGCCATGCAACCTGCCACGACCTTCCAAAGTCGATTTTTCGAAACGTCTTTTACGCGCCCGCAGAAGTTGGCCAACCGCGCGAGATTAGTATGTGAAAGTGGAGCGAGACACGACACAAGAAAAAAAAAACATACTCTGCCGATGATGAAAGATGTCAAGAACTCATTTTTAAAAGAAATAAAAGATAAATGTAAATTGTGAAAACAATATCCATTTTGCTGATCCGATCAATTCAAATAAAAAAAACAACAACAAAAAAACGAGGAAGCGAAAGAGATAACAATATGGAAAAAAATACGATAACAATTACATACAGGGCTTATGGAAGACTTAAAGGGGGGAGAGGGGAAGGGGGGGGAGCTAAGAAGGGGCCGGGGCACTTTAAGAGAACCCGTTGGCCACGCCGGGGTCATGAGCCGGGAAGTGGCGGATTCACTGGTTCCTTGAGGTAAGAAAAAGGAGGTAGATAGGGGTGAGAGGGAGAGGGAGAGGATGGGGCAGAGGGAGGGAAAGGGAGAGGAAGATGGAAAGGGAGAGGGAGAGGGAGAGGGAGAGGAAGAGGAACAGGGAAGGAGGGAGAAGAAGAGGAAGAGGAAGAGGAAGAGGGAGGGAGGGAGAAGAAGAGGAAGAGGGAGGGAGGGAGGGAGAAGAAGAGGAAGAGGGAGGGAGGGAGGGAGGGAGGGAGGGAGGGAGGGAGAGAGAGAGAGAGAGAGAGAGAGAGAGAGAGAGAGAGAGAGAGAGAGAGAGAGAGAGAGAGAGAGAGAGAGAAACGCGAATAAAACGTCATGCGAATGAGAATGCCATGACATGAGAACATCAATAAATAAAACAAGAACCTTGCCAAGAAAGCAGAGCTGGGCATGAGTAACGGAGAGAGAAGGGGGAGGGAGGCAGGTGGGTAGGAGTGAGGGGGTATACCCAAGGGGAAAGGGGGGCGGGGGCAGAAGAGGGAGGGTATATTGGGAGAGGGGGGGGGTTAAGGGACAGGAAAAAGGGGGTATGTCGAGGGAGGGAGAAGGGCAGGAGAGAGAGAGAGAGGGGGGGAGGGGGGTATATTCAGGTATCTTGACGAAGCCACACTAGGTGACCACACGGAGGGGGCACGGGGTAGGGGGGGGGGGGGGAGGATAACACCTTGGGTTAACAAGGTGGACTTGTGAGAGGCGAAGGAAAGGAGGAAGGAGGGACACATGTACACGAACGAACGAACAAACGAAGGCACACAAACACGCAATAGAAAAAAAAAAGTGGGAGGGGGGAATAGAGAAAGGGAGGAGAGATAGAAGGACACGATAACATACAAAGAGGGAGACAGGGGAGGGTGAGAAGAGTCACTATCATCCTGGAAACCACAAAGAGTCATCAAGGGGGAGGGGAAAGGGGGGAGGGGAGGGGAGGGAGGGGGGAGGGGGTAGAGGGAAACCACAAGGAGACCTGAGGACCATTGAAAGGAAATTTTGGTGGGATGGAAGCATTAATTAGAAAATAATGAGCAAGGAATACAAGGACAAAAGACAAGAGTAAGAGGAGAGAGGGAGAGAGAGAGAGAGAGATTGGGAAATGGGAAAAGAGAGAAGGGGGAGGAAGAGGGGAAAGAAGGAGAAAGACGAATGTAAAACAGGAAACCTATAAATAAATAGATATAGAGACAGAAATAGACTGATAGATAGACAGAGAGAAATATAAACATTATATATATATATATATATATATATATATATATATATATATATATATATATATATATATATATAGAGAGAGAGAGAGAGAGAGAGAGAGAGAGAGAGAGAGAGAGAGAGAGAGAGAGAGAGAGAGAGAGCGAGAGCGAGAGACCGCCACAGCCGAGGAAGGCGCGACGCGGGGAGAGCGAGCGGCTGCGAGAAGAACCGCAGTCATGAGCGTCGAGTGGTTACGAACCTTTGGAACCAGTTCAGCGCGTCTGCGTCACGCCGGGCGGCCAGTGGGCGGCGTGAATCAAATCCCAGGTTGGCGTCAAGCTCTCACAATGGGCGGGTGAACGACCTATGACACTGCGAGGGCGGGGATCGACCGTGCTGGCGATAGGTTGAGGCGGTCGCGGGATTTTTTTTTTTTTTTTTTTTACGAAGAAAGGAGAGAGGAGAGAGAGGAATGGAAAATATTATCGAGAAGGTAGAAGGGAGACGACGGAGAAGCAAAACAGAAGAGAACGGACTCGAGGAAACGACGACGACGAACGCAGTATAAAAAATATATATACTAATATACACAACTACTACTTCTACTTATACTAATAACAACAACAAACGCCACACCACCACCAACAACAATAATACCCACACCAAAAAAAAAGAAGTAAAATAGTGAAAACACAAACGAAAAAAATAACAATAAAAAAGAAGAACCAGACGAAGAAAAAAAAAACACACACGAGCCAAGCCTTCGTCGGCAAATCCAAGTTCATTTATCAGCATGATTACCATAAGCCCTAGGCGCATTTCCACGCCCAAGGGAGCTCCTGCTGGGTCAACGTTCCTCCTGGACCGCCGCCCGAACGTCCAAATGAACCCAGTGACCACATGGAGGAGGAGAATGAGGAGGTGGAGGAGGAAGTGAAAAAAGAGTAGGAAGAGGAGTTGGTAGAGAATAATAATAATAATTATAATAAAATAAATAATAATAATAACAACAGCAATAGCAACAACAACAACAACAAAGAAGACAGAAAGGCGTGGGCCGAGAAGCGATACAGAGGAAGAAGAGAAAACAAGAACTTCGAGAAACAAAGAAAAAAATAACTAACTAGAAAAAAAACTTCCCAAACCTCTTCCCCCCCCCCCCCATCTAGGTAAAACTTCTCTCAAACCTCAAGCAAACCAAATGCTTAGCGCCGGGGGGAGGGGGAGGGGGAGGGGAGGGCTAGTGTAACATGCAATGGTTCCTCATGACCGAAAGCCATGAAATTCTCATGAGAGGGAGAAAAAAACAGCCTCGTCATTAAAATACATTTACATACATTTTCTCATCAAGAATGAACTGTCATGAAAAAAAAAACGTTGATTGGCGATTACGACTGTCACGTGACTCAATTAAGATGGGATTCTTCATATCTCGAGAGAGGGAAGAAAGACGGAAAGAAGAATAATAATGAAGAAAAGGAAGAAGAGGAAAAACAAAAGGAAAGCGAGTACCGTTAAATCCCCTTTCCTCGCCTCTATCAATGATGCACACAAAATTTAAGTAACTGGATTCGACAAGTGCCTCCTGTGTTGCAAGGTGGGTGAGACGTCCTGTTGCAAAGCGGTCGACCCTTTGCGATCCTGCAACATACCGGTAGCTGAAGCAATATTTGCAACTCGTTTGGTGCAAGGAACAGAGAAGGGAATGCCACTCATAAGACCAAGGAAAATGCAAATGGACGTTCACACCAGAAACACAAAGAAAGGAAAGTGGAAGAAAGAGGAAGGAAAGGAAAGAAAGAGGACAGAAGAGAGGAGGAGGAACAGTAATAGGAGTAGGAAGAGAACAGGAAAAGAGAGAGGAGAGAAAAGAGAGAGAGGAGAGGAGAGGAGAGGAGGGGAGAGGAGAGGAGAGGAGGGGAGAGGAGAGGATAGAGAGGGAGTGAAGGAACTTAACTAAATCCGTGCATGCAATAAACCCGACCAGACACGAGGCGTGAAGGGAACACACAGAAGGTGGGTTTATGGCAAGCAGGGTGGGCGTCGTCCGTGAGCATCAGAATGGGTGGGCGTGAACAGCGTATGTGTCTGTGTGCGTGAATGTGAGTGTAAAGAAAGAAGGCGCACGCTGTAGCCAATCCGAGGCGACCGGCGTTAAATAGTCACGTCTGAAGTAGCGTTATACGCAACGCACCGTGTTACGTCGATGGTGACGAGGCAAGTGTGTCGGGGAGGGGGAGGGGGAGGGGTTGGAAAGGGAGAATAGGGGGTCTCGGAGGGGTGAGGGGTAAGCAAAAGGTCTAGATGACGAAAGGAAGAGAAAATCAGGGAAGGGGGAAGGGGGCAGATGGTAGGGGAAAGAGAAGCAGGAGGAGGAGGAGGAGCAGGAGGAGGAGGAGGAAGGAGAAAGAAGAGGAGGAGGAAGGAGAAAGAAGAAAAGGAAGAAGGGGGAGAGGATGAGAAAGCATTATAAGACGGAGAAGGGCAATAGGGAAGGTGGAAGCTGAGGGGGGTGCCGATGGGCGTGAGGGCGTGACCAAGTGGTCAGACCCCTTTCCGAAATCACTTTCGCACAGTGAACGGCGCTAATGACAACCGCATGGCACCGACGGAAGACGTGGAAGAACTTTCCGATGCGAGATGGATGAGCGTGTGGGTGAACGGACTTCCTCGCCGTCCAGAAGCGATGAAGCCCGTGGTGAGGAAGCACTATGCATGATGAGGAAGTATTGTGTGTGGGGCGAGGAAGCAGCGTGTGGCAAAAAAAAAAAAGACCCGTGTGGCGAGGAAGCAAGGTGTGGGCTCAAGAGGATCCTCATTTGGCCGTGTGCGAATAATGAGCGGCCAGGACGATGAATGTGGTGAGAATAAATCTGCCTGGTGAGTGTAATGAGTGTGGCGAGCGCTGGAATACGCACGCTGCGCCGGGGAAATCGGGAGGCCAAATGGTCCCAACGCGAAAGGAATGTTATAACGTCTTAGCTCATAAATGCAAAAAAGACGGGAGGAATATCTGCTGCGGCAAACCACAATACCAAGGCTGTAACAACGCTCGCATACGTAAAGGCAGACTGACAGAGAGACAGAAACGCAAAGACAAAGACAGACAAGACAGTGAGATACACACACGCACGCACGTACACACGCACACACCAAAATCAAATCAACACAACAACCAACAAGCATCAAAACAAAAGCACTTAAAGCCAAAAAAGGATACAGTTCATCATATCGGCGACGCAGGTCATTTCCTCCGAGTGGTAAAAGGACTTGAACTCCTTACGCAGGTCATAGAAGGCATTGTAGTACTCGGGAAGGTCAAGGTTCTTCGCCAGCGCCTTCGGGTGGATCACCTGGCGGAGGTGAAGCTGGCCGTCCGTTACCATGGCGACCTTACCTGTGTCCCCGTCTGCTATCTTGCTCAGGATGGCGTCGAACTGCGGGAGAAAAGGAGGTTTTCGTTAGTATTTCAATGTTGATAACTTTAAATGGGATAGGCAGAGAAAAAAACATCCTAATGTTTACTAACAATGAATAACAACAATATAATAATAATAACAATAATAATAATAATAATAATAATAATTGAGGTATCCCTTCATACAATACTCTTCTCTCCTTCTTCTCTCCTCCTCCTCTCCTCTCTCCTCTCTCCTCTCCCCTCTCCTCCTCCTCTCCTCCTCTCCTCTCCTCTCTCAACACACGCACAAAACCCCACCACACACGCCACCCCATGAGCCCGCCACCTGTCGCTTCTCCGCAACACGTGATGGGGCCGATAGATCACGTGGTGGCGGCGGGCGCGGTGAACGTTGAAACCATCCGCCCTCGAGGGTTTGGGCGGCGGTGGGCGGCGGCGAAGGCTGGTGTGATGGCGTGAGAGAGAGAGAGAGAGAGAGAGAGAGAGAGAGAGAGAGAGAGAGAGAGAGAGAGAGAGAGAGAGAGAGAGAGAGAGAGAGAGAGAGAGAATTCTGTAAGCCCGAACTGTGCCGGATACTGAATGAATTAAACACGGATAATCGACAATCTGTGAAAAGGAAGGACAACAAGAAGGACGAAGGAATAATGGAAAGAAACAAATAATAAAGTACGAACGAAAGAAAAGCATGGAAGACAGGATAAACAGCGAGAGAGAGAAGAAAAACCAAGATGAAGGAAGAAAGAGAGAAAGGGAAAAAGAGGTCACAAGATATCACGGCCGGATGAGAGCCCTCCTTAAGCTAGGGGCACTGTCCGGATAAGACGGGGCACGAGAGTCATCATCAGCCAACAGAAACGCATAAGTGTCGGGCATCAGCAGTGACGGAGCACAATGGGCGACTCTCGACGTTCTCCTGATCGGCCGGCTTAAGCACGCGTTCGTTTTATTTCCGTAAATTCGCTGATATTTTCCAACTCAAATAAGAACTTGTTTAAAACCGATCACATGGCTAAGCTCCATTAACTTCGTTAATTCGAAATTAAAATGCAGTGGAGGAGGACGAAGAGGTGGAGCAGATGGAGGAGGAGGGGGAGGAGGAGAAAGGAGGAGGAGGAGGGGGAGGAGGAGAAAGAGGATAAAGAGGATAAAGAGGAGGGAGAACAAAGCGAAGATGAAAACGGAGGAGAAGGGCGACGTTAAAAACAACAACGAGGAACAAAAGAAAAAAGAAAAAAAAAGGAAAAAGAAAAAAAATAAACAAGCCATAACACCAAAGGCAGCGAAGTCCCAAAACGTTTCCGCCGTGCAGCTCAACCGCCCATCCAGCGCCAGCCCAGCGCCCGCCCACCCTCCCGCACGCCCTAGCCGAACCTCCTCCGCCTCCTCCTCCTCCGCCGCCGCCGCCCGCATGGTTCGTTGACTCCGAAGGCTACGCCGTTTCCACTCGGCCGCCTCGGGATGCTCGGGCTGCCTCCACGCGCTCGCATCCTCGGCGTCCGGGATGCGCGCCTTCCTCTCCGCAACATCCTTCTCGCATCCTATGCTTGGGGATTTTATTTTCCCTTTTTCCTCAGCGGGGTCCTAATTGTATCCCACACAAGTATTTTATTTGTTTTTATTTAGCTTTATATATTTTTAAATCTATCTTATCGTCATCATCATCATCATCATACCTATTATCATCATCACTATTATTATTATTACTATTATCTTTTTTTTTTCCTTTTTTTTTTTTTTTCTTTTTGGTTGGCGGGTTCCAAGCTGATCCTACACTCGCTGCTGGATCTCCTATTTATCCTATACTCGCTGGGTATATTAGGGCTTGGCAATATCCTAACACTCGTGTATGAAATGAGTTCCTACACTTGTATCCTAAACTTTTTTTTTTTTGGGGGGGGGGGGGGTCGTACCTTTGAGGAGTCATGCAAATCCGAGACCGTCAAGGAACCGCCATAAGGGTCATTATCACTCAATGACGTGACATGCGCATGACAATGTCTCGCACAAGAATCCCAACGGCTTTGCTAAAAGACGTGATTTAAATTTTGCACAGAATTTCTTTAGATTTCTATAAAAAAAAAGGAAACTTGGATTTATTCCCGTGACTATCGAACTAAAGAAAGAAAATTACAGAAAAAGAAAGATAAATAGAAAGAGAAAGAAAGAATGAATGAAGGGAAGAAATAAAAAGAAATAGAAAAGGAATGAAGGAAAAGGAAAAAAAAGACAGAGGGAAAGAAAGAAAAACGAAGAGAAGAAAAGAAAAATGAAAGAACAAAAAAGAAAGAAAGAAAGAATTAAAGAATGAAAGAATGAAAGAATGAAAGAATGAAAGAATGAAAGAAAAAGAATGAAAGAAAGAAAGAATGAAAGAAAAATGGAACGTCTTCATCATCGAACACCAGGACTTCCCTTCCTCCAGCGACATCGTCAGGCGAGAGATTCCCTTCGACGTCGCAGAAACCGAATCCCCCCCCCCTTTTTTTTGTTACTCCCATTTCTTCCTTTTTTTCTTCTTTTTTCTATTTCCTTTTTTCGTTACTCCCATTTCCTCAGTTTTTTTTCTTTTTTTTCCCCTGTTCGCTACTCCTATCTATTTTTGCTTTTGCTTTTTTTTTTTCTACTCCCATTTCTTACTCTTTCTTTTTTTTCCTTTTCCTTTTTTCGCTACTCTCATTTCTTCTTTTCTTTTCTTTTTCTATTTGCTTTTTTTCGCTACTACCATTTCTTCCTTTTTTACGTTTTTTCACATTACCTCTTCTTTACTGTGAATCACACGATCCGCCAAGACGAAAGAGGGAGGGAGGGAGGGAGGGAGAGAGAGGGAGAGAGAGGGGGAGAGAGAGAGAGAGAGAGAGAGAGAGAGAGAGAGAGAGAGAGAGAGAGAGAGAGAGAGAGAGAGAGAGAGAGAGAGAGAGAGAGAGAGAGAGAGAGAGAGAGATGAAGGACAAAAAAAAAAATAATAATAAAAATCAAAGAGAAAAAAAAGAGAAAAAAGAAAAGAAAAGAAAGAATTCCAAGACTCGCCCGCCCGTTTCTTGTTCGTCCGCTCGTAGTGACTCGCGTTTCCAAGGCTGCCTCGACCGCCGCCCACGTCACGCCCGAACCACAGCAATTCTCGCGCTGGGAAAACGACGCCCGCTCTTCACACCGACTCAGCCGCCAATTATCAAGGCAATTAGACGTACATACACGCACACACGAAATGTACGTTATATAATATATATATATATATATATATATATATATATATATATATATATATATATATATATATATAGAGAGAGAGAGAGAGAGAGAGAGAGAGAGAGAGAGAGAGAGAGAGAGAGAGAGAAATATACAGAAATAAAGAAAGAGGAAGAGGAAGAAGAGGGAGAGAGAGACACACTTGGGGTGGAGAAGACGAAACAGAGGAAGAAAAGGAACCATAATAATAATAATAAAATAATAATAATAAAAAAAACACACACACAGAGCCAAAAAGGCGCAACTCCAAGGCAACCGCCAGCCAGACGGGGAGACAGCGCCAGAACAGCCCCATCGGACAACAGCTGACCAGGCCGCCTGGCTAAGCCTATAACGGGGCCCCTGCAGTTCAACAAACCCGGGGAGGCTGCAACTGTCATTTCCTTAACGCCACGACACTATCGGTCCGCCAACATGACGCGACGAGCTCCAGAAAGCGGGCGGGGGAGAGCTGGGGAGCTGGAGCGTCGCGGGGGCAGACGGGCAGATGAACAGGTGACGCTGACAACGCACTCGGCGGACAGGGGGACGTGCACAGGCAGTTTTGTGCCTCTCGGACGCTTTAGAGAGGGGGAGAGAGGGAGGGAGGGAGAGAGGGAAGGGAGGGAGGAAGGGAGAGAGGGAAGGGAGAGAGGGAAGGGAAGGGAAGGGAAGGGAGGGAAGAAGGGAGAGAGGGAAGGGAGGGAGGAAGGGAGAGAGGGAAGGGAGAGAGGGAGGGAGGGAGGAAGGGAGAGAGGGAAGGGAAGGGAAGGGAAGGGAGACGGAGGGGAAGGGAAGGGAAGGGAAGGGAAGGGAAGAGAAGGGAAGGGAAGGGAAGGAAAGGGAAGGAAAGGGAAGGGAGACGGAGGGGAAGGGAGGGGAAGGGAAGGGAAGGGAAGGGGAGGGAAGGGAGACGGAGGGGAAGGGAAGGGAAGGGAAGGGAAGGGAAGGGAAGGGAAGGGGAGGGAAGGGGAGGGAAGGGGAGGGAAGAGAGACGGAGGGGAGGTGGGAGGAAGGGGATAGGAAGCAGAGTAGAAAAGGGAGGGAAGGGGATAGAGGATGGATGGAGGGGGACAGAAATGGTATAAAAAGCTGACGAAGAGGAGCTGAGGAATTAAGAGCGAGATAGAAATGGAAAAAAGGAGAGAGGAAAAGAGAAAAGTTAAATAAGAGAGAAGAGAGGAGGGCGAGAGAGGAGTTTGGCGAGAGCAACAGAGAGGGAGAGAGAAGCCAGCTTAAGGGAAGTCACAACCCCGGCAGTGGAAAGATGAGACAATAGAAGCTGTGCATTATAACTACAGAGGAAATTGAGGTGTGCCATTCCACCGCCCCCTCCCTTGCTCCTCCCCCCTCCTTCCTTCCCCGCCCCCATCCATCTACCCTCACTCTCTCCCTTCTCCTCCCCTCCCCTCCCCTCCTCTCCCCCCCTTCCTCAACCCCGTTTCCATACCGTACCTGCTGTGTCAGGATGAAACGGAACAGATACAAAGCGCCCACATACTGCTCTGTTTCATGGAGGGACGGGGTGTAGAGGGGGCTGAGGGGAGGGAGCAGAGAGGTGGGGGCAGAGGGGAGGGGGCAGAGGGGAGGAGGCAGAGGGGAGGGGGCAGAGGGGAGGGGGCAGAGGGGAGGAGGCAGAGGGAAGGGGGCAGAGGGGAGGGGGCAGAGGGAAGGGGGCAGAGGGGAGGGGGCAGAGGGGAGGAGGCAGAGGGGAGGGGGCAGAGGGGAGGAGGCAGAGGGGAGGGGGCAGAGGGGAGGAGGCAGAGGGGAGGGGGAAGAGGGGAGGGGGCA